GGTTTAGTTTTAATGTGACATTTGGTATTTCATTTTTTGTTATTAACTGTTCGAATGAGATGATGGATAAGGACATAAGATATAAACAACTATTACATATATATATATATGAGGCGAGAAGTTAGATTTTCAACAGTTACGGCTGTTTTCGATATCTAGGAAGTCAGATAAGTCAGGATTGAAGGAGCAGTGGAGATATGAAACAAAGGATAGCGGAGAATAGAATAGCTTTTAACAAAAAGGAGTCACTTAATTTAGTAATTCGAAAAGGATTGTTAAAGGTGTATGTGCTTTTAAAGGTGAATGATGAGGATACCGTGGATAGAGAAGGTTAGAAATGAAGAGGTGTTAGAAAGGATAGGTGAACAGAGGACTCTATGGAAGTCAATAAGAAATAGGCGAGATACGTTAGTAGGAAACCTTTTTAGGCACGAAGGACTAGTCAGGGGCATATTAGAGGCAGAAACAGGAATTAAGAAGGGTAGAGGTAGATCTAGATTAGACTACTGTTCACAAATAGTTAAGGATATGGGATGTTCTAGTAGTTTTAGGTAAATGCGAAGGTTAGCTTAGGATATAGGAAAGGGTGGAGATAGAGTCTTAGGACTGACGACCTTATGATAGTGACGGCTTAGAATTAAGATACAATGGCTACTTTTATTTCCATTATTTGCTAATTAATTAAAATATGCATAATGAGTCAATCATGCGTTTCAGTGCCCCTCTTTGGTGATCAATTATTCATTGTTTTAGTACGCGGCTATATGTGCATGTATTAGGTAATGAATTTAAGTCGGGTCTGTTCACGTATATTGGTAATTATAAAGCAATTAATTAAGATTATCATAATTGATTCTTATTCCAAAATATGAGAAATATAAGCCCTTTTGCGACACCCTGTTCACACATTAATCAAATTCCTAATTCAATTTATGTTACGTCTTCATTTTTAATTCTTAGCTCTNAATTCAAAAGGTTTTCCGTCGCAAAGTATGTTATAAGCTCAGAATTCGATAAAACCCAAATTCTAAAGTAAAAATGCTTTGATGTTGAAGGGATTCAACATCATAAGGTCGTCAGTCCTAAGACTGGTTGGACACGCACCTCCACTCTTTCCTAACGTGAGCTATGTTCGCATTTCCCAAAAACTAGAACAACCCACATCCTTAACTATTTGCGAACAGTAATCTAATCTAGGTCTACCTCTACTCCTTTTAACTCCATTTTATTTAAAGCTATCTCTAACTTCTCCTTGCTAGATGTGAATACTGTCATATAATCTGCAAATCTAAACATACTAATCTTTTGCTCCTGTATATGTATCCCTACAGTTGTATTGTCTTTAATAATGTTGATCGCGTCTTCGATCTATAGATTAAAAAGTAGCGGTGACAGTGTGCATCCCTGTCTGACTCCCTTCCTACTATTTACTTATCTACGTTGCAGCTCCAGCTCCAACATCCNGTTATAATTCAAAAGGTTTTCCGTCGCAAAGTATGTTATAAGCTCAGAATTCGATAAAACCCAAATTCTAAAGTAGAAATGCTTTGATGTTGAAGGGATTCAACATCATAAGGTCGTCAGTCCTAAGACTGGTTGGACACGCACCTCCGCTCTTTCCTAACTTGAGCTAATCTTCGCATTTCCCCAAAACTAGAACAACCCACATCCTTAACTATTTGCGAACAGTAATCTAATCTAGGTCTACCTCGACTCCTCTTAACTCCATTTTATTTAAAACTATCTCTAACTCCTCCTTGCTAGATGTGAATACTGTCATATAATCTGCAAATCTAAACATACTAATCTTTTGCTCCTATATATGTATCCCTACAGTTGTATTATCTTTAAAAATGTTGATCGCGTCTTCGATCTATAGATTAAAAAGTAGCGGTGACAGTGTGCATCCCTGTCTGACTCCCTTCCTACTATTTACTTATTTACGTTGCAGCTCCAGCTCCAACTGCCTGTTGCTCTTTATGCAAACTAAGTATCACTCTTCTATCTTTGTAACTCATCCCTACATTTTTAAGTAAACTTAACATCTTGTCCACTTGACATTGTCAAAAGCATTTTCTAAATATACAAATCCTAATTACACNTAATTTATAATACTTTCAAATCGGGGTAAACTAAAAATTATCGGGTCTAAATGTTTCTATCCGAGTGTATACTTGGTTGCATATGCATATATTTTAATCAGTGGGTAACCCCGTCAAAATTTGGCTAGTATAATTTTAAAACGGTGATGCTCGTTACAAGAAAATAAAATTGTTTGTGGTGCATCCGGAAAATACACCCCCAGGGTGACTTTGTATTTGTAAAATGGTATAGTGAGATGAATTATTTGTAAGAAAGTTGAAGAAGTTTATGCTTTGTTTATTGGTATTGGTTGTACATTGTACTGTTAAAGGATGAAATAAGTGAGTAAGTGTTCACTACCCCCTGTTTAACGTGACGCCATTGTATGTGTGTCTGTCCAGTGAATTGTAAAATATAAATCGTTCCGCGCCATTGTTAAAGTCGAACCATTTTTATGGGCATTACAGGTGAAATAGGATTTCGAAGCGTTTAGGTACTGCTAAAAGGTGCTATTGTGTGATGCACAAAACCGAAGACGAAATAAATTTCGGAAGAAATACGATTACATAAATATAAACGGTCCTCAGTGCGGCGTTTTGGCAATAAAACTGTAATCTTGTAAAGATCATCGGCATTGCAGATAATCTTATTTTTATTACTTACCATATAACACTTGTCTACACTCCAGTTAATTCTTCGTTTCTTCGGCTCGGTCGGACCGTCGTGGTTTAGGTATCGTCGTAAATGACACAGATAATCTTTCGTCAAAAATTTTACCCTCTGTCTCACTATGTCAGATTATTCGTAATTTATATCCGCCGCTGATACAAAGTATCAACAACAGCCTATTACTTCGACTTATTCACTTCTTTATTCGAACTGTTGTGGCCCCTTCAAGAAATGTCGGCCAATATGAGAATTTCGTTATATTGTCTATTGTTTGACGAATTAAGTTTTATCGTCGTAAATGTCCAACTGAAATACAATTCGTTCTGTGTTTTTCGACTTTTACATAATCCACAAACTTTATGACTACTTTCGCTAAACAATTTGGCTAAAAATACCCGAAATGTAACACAAAGTTATATCTTCCAAGAAGGATTATTACTGACTTGTATCTTTTTTTTTATAATAAGGACTACCTAAACCTAAATAATGTAAAGACGAAACAAAATAATTTCTTGAAACAAATTATTTTTGTTTTCGTATTTTTCAAAATGGACTTCAAGGAATGATAGCATTATGGATTTTATTAATTTACACTTCTGTTTTGAGACTACAGAATCATAAGAATGTTTATTACTAACAACTAATACAAAAGAAAGGAAAACATTGACACATTTTATTGTAATAAGTTTTTTAATTTTTGTTTATCGAACGAATACTTTTCGTTCTTCTTTGAAAATAATATTTAAATAAAGATCGGTAGGTAATTTGTATATCACTTTTATTTACAAATAGGGTAGGTACAATACAATAAATTATTTAACAATTTCAATGAGCTAATGGAGCGTTTTTTTGAAATATAATACTATTTAAAGTTATTGCTTTCCGGAGTATCTATTATAGAGATGAACAAAGAACAGAAAACTTACAATTAAATAATATTTATTACGAGTACCTATAGCATATACGTAAAACGTATATTAGTTAAAGCTGTTTCATGTAAGTTTTAACGTGCTGCTATTAAGATATTTCAGGATATTTTTATATACGGCGTCATGATTTAGGTATATTTGAAAAATTGTACTTTACAAAACACGATTATTAGAAAATGTATTGATGTCATAGCAATTCATAGAAAGAATTTAGGTATTTACGCCTAAATTGTATTATACTGTAATTAAGTGATCTAAAATTGAAGGAACTGATTTCCCGAAAGTTTTTCTTTTCGGTTATAAGTTATAAGTGCGAAGTTTAAAATTTAGTACACGCTGGACAAAAAGAATATTGTTTTTATGTTTTGATTTGATGAAAGTATTTGAACGAAAGAATTTTGTTGAGCACCCTGTTACAAATTGTATCTAATATATATTAGTACATGAATAAATAAAAAAAAATAGTAAATTGTTCAAATAAGACGCCTATATAAACGAACATTTTATAGGTTTTTTACGATAAACCTAATAACTGTTATAAGAATTACTATCAGTCATTATACTGGAACGATCGTAGTACGTTATTACTATAGTTATTAAACTTGATAGAATGTAAAGTCTTTTTATATCTAATTATCTATAACTGACAATGAATTGCGTGAGCAGATTAGGTTTTCTTTATATCGAAAGTTTACTTCATATTTTTGAACTAATTTATAATACTTATACAATCACCTAAATATTTTAAACTTTACGTAATTTTCATTGTTATTAAAGGTTCCTAATAGTTGAAATAAATTGAAAATTTCGTTCTATCTTGTTTTAGGTTTGTAAGAAAATACATTTTCATTCTATTTTTCTGTTTATTAACCTTTTTCTTTTTGCATCACATTTGATACACCGATACCTACCATATGAATTATAATTTTTTATATTTACATAATTTTCGTTTCGATGGGCTATTGCTATTTAAAATCCTTTAAAGTAGGTACCGCATTGAATAGATTCACCCTAGCCTCTTCCTATCAATACGTTAACTCACAAATTGTTTTGACACTTCACTATTTTAATACTTAACGTTTGTTTTCTGAAGAGGGCAAGAATTACCCTCTACCCTCTATGTTGCATTTTTGAAACAATCTGTAAAAAATACTACAAAATCGTAAAATGTAGCATCGTGCTACAGATGGCGTTTACTGCGCCATTTGTAGTATTTTCTAAAACGCACTGTTAAGACAGCAGGTAAAAGTTGGTCTGTGTTCTGTCAAGCTGCCTGCGACGCGCTGATGAGATCCATAAAGATCGCGTCTGGCAGTTTCGACAGAATACAGACCACTTCGAATTATTTTAATCTGTAAAAAATTATTTTGATTTAGGTAGAATCTTGGGGCACGGTTAGGTTTGGTTACGTTAGTGTTGATTGATATATTAATGACAGATCTTCAACAAATCACATGGCCTAAACAGGTTAATCGGTATGATAGATATTTTTTAATTTATTGAGAATTCCTGATGAAGATTGTAGATTAAAGAAAATCTAGGGCGTCGTTTTGCTGCATCATTTATTGAATTGAATCAAGAGAGTTCCTACAATAATTTTTGAAAATAGGACAAGGAAGCATGTTCTCTATCACTATTTTGTCTGAAATGTAATTTATTTGAAGCTATTAGGACCTTTTGAGTTACGTGAGGTTTAGCTGACAATGAGTAAACAGTGAACTGAGATATTTGATAGATGATAACTCACTTATTCCAGTGTTTGTAAAAATACGCACAGCCTTTAGATTACGGGCCACTATCAGAACTTTTACTAGTCGACTGTTGTTGTTGTTCACTACATAACATTTGACGTTCTTCACATACCGCATCACTAAAAGTTTGTTTAGTTTGTTGAATTGGTTGCGATTCGTTCACAGTGTAAGGTATCGTAGGAACACAGCGCATAGGTAAGGGTGTTGCTGGGAACGTGCTGGAGAAGAGTCCTCCTGGTACGAAGGGCTGCGGCCCCAACATAGCCGGCGACATAACTGGAGCCATCGACATTAAACTAGCCGCATATTCCAATAGAGCTGCTTGATGATGAACCAATTCTGAATGTTGTGAGAATGGTACACACCACTTGGAAAACAGTTCACTCTCGGAAAGAGTTGGATGCGTTACTGGTGGAGGAACTTGTGCCTCTGGAGTGGCTTTCTTATCAGGCCTTATTATGCTATCTATGCTGAAGTTCTTAATTGTATTAGAAGTCTTTGGAATGCTACTTTCGGATTCAGAATAGCCAACCGTTGTACTAGGAGCAGGAACTGAAGAGGACGAGGACATCCCCGGAAAAGTTCCAGGTTGCATCTTTACTAAAGAGTCTAACTCTTTCGAAACGTTTTTGGGAAGTTTGAAACGTTTTCTTCGTCTCAAGAAACTTCCGTTTTCAAACATGTCTAGAGCGGCTGGATGTAAAGCCCAATAAGCTCCTTTGCCGGGCCTATCGGGCCTTCTTGGAATTTTTATGAAGCAATCGTTGAAGGAGAGGTTGTGCCGAAGTGAATTTTGCCATCTCTGAGTATTGCGACGATAGTATGGAAAATTGTCTGTTATGAAGCGATATATTTCTGAGAGAGGTAGCATTTTTTCTGGCGAACTCCAGATAGCCATAGCCGTAAGTGATATATAAGAATATGGAGGCTTTTGGTCTCCATAAGTCTCCCTGGAAGGCCGAGGCATATCTGGAAAGAGAAAATATTGTGACCATGTAGCATCCTTGACGATATAACTTATACTAATTATTTATTAGATAAGTGCAAAATAAATAAAAAGAAGTCACTTCTGTGCTCGCGAACGGTTAACTTAGAAATTCGAAAAAGGTTGTTAAAGGTGTATGTTTGGAGCACGGCTTTGTACCGGTGCGAAACATGGACAGGGGGCTCGGCGGAAAAGAAAAGGTTAGAAGCGTTCGAAATGTGGTGTTATAGGCGGATGATGAGGATATCGTGGGTAGAAAAGGTTAGAAATGAAGAGGTATTGGAAAGAATAGGAGAACAGAGGACTCTATGGAAGTCAATAAAAAATAGGCGAGATAGGTTGGTAGGACACCTTCTCAGGCATGAAGGTCTAGTCAGAGACATATTAGAGGCAGAAACAGGAGTTAGGAGGGGTAGAGGTAGACCTAGATTAGATTACTGTTCGCAAATAGTTAAGGATGTGGGCTGTTCTAATTTTAGGGAAATGCGAAGTTTAGCTCAGGATAGGAAAGAGTGGAAGTACGTGTCCAACCAGTTTTATGACTGACGACCTTATGATAATGATGAAGTGTAAAATGGTTTATTAAAAATGAGAGATATAAGAGTGACAGGCATGCATAAACAGCAATAGATATTAGGATCTTGGTGATTACTGATTATTTGATCTACTATTAAGTTTCACCCACTTAAGGTTTGTGTATGATCGGTCATTTTTCTGTTTTGTCAATCATGTGTCCTGTAAATATTAGATGATATATATTTAATATTTGATGAATGAACAAAATTAAGCACGTTTCCGATTAATTATTATTGAGATAGGACTCCCACACGCTATATTAGATTATTTAGTTTGTTAACAAAATAGGGAAAGTAGATGGTGTGTACCTTGATAATAAAGAGAAGGTAATTGTATTGACGTTATCAAGGTTTACATGAATGTGCAATTTGCTCTAGAATTAAAAATCTCAGTTCGATTGATTTATTAGATAAATTGTGTACGTGTTTCGGAACGCATTTCCTTGTTTTTTACTTGTCTGGTGTTTAAACGCTATAAATTTCTTTGAGGTATCGACTTTTAATTCGTGTAAATTACTTATTGGTATATATATTTTGTGCGTTAGTTTTTGCTACCAATGCCTACTGTTTTAGCTTATATTATATTGCCGCTAGGTTTATGGGTTTGAAACTTGAAACCTACATTTTTTTAAACATTTGTTTAAATGAGACCAGAGTCCCAGAAATATAGTTTTCAGTGGTCTCGTTTTCTTAAGCTACTCAAATTATCTTTTTACACCTTCATTTACAGGCTTTAGTTAAACGTAAACTTTTTTGTTTAGATATTTACTTATTCAATATTCATTAAACTAGTATATGGAAAAAATATTTGCAACTCTCTTAAAGAAGAATATGATTTTTATTCGTTCATTTAACTCTCAACTCCTTCTTCAAATCCTGGTTTAGTTTTAATGTGACATTTGGTATTTCATTTTTTGTTATTAACTGTTCGAATGAGATGATGGATAAGGACATAAGATATAAACAACTATTACATATATATATATATGAGGCGAGAAGTTAGATTTTCAACAGTTACGGCTGTTTTCGATATCTAGGAAGTCAGATAAGTCAGGATTGAAGGAGCAGTGGAGATATGAAACAAAGGATAGCGGAGAATAGAATAGCTTTTAACAAAAAGGAGTCACTTAATTTAGTAATTCGAAAAGGATTGTTAAAGGTGTATGTGCTTTTAAAGGTGAATGATGAGGATACCGTGGATAGAGAAGGTTAGAAATGAAGAGGTGTTAGAAAGGATAGGTGAACAGAGGACTCTATGGAAGTCAATAAGAAATAGGCGAGATACGTTAGTAGGAAACCTTTTTAGGCACGAAGGACTAGTCAGGGGCATATTAGAGGCAGAAACAGGAATTAAGAAGGGTAGAGGTAGATCTAGATTAGACTACTGTTCACAAATAGTTAAGGATATGGGATGTTCTAGTAGTTTTAGGTAAATGCGAAGGTTAGCTTAGGATATAGGAAAGGGTGGAGATAGAGTCTTAGGACTGACGACCTTATGATAGTGACGGCTTAGAATTAAGATACAATGGCTACTTTTATTTCCATTATTTGCTAATTAATTAAAATATGCATAATGAGTCAATCATGCGTTTCAGTGCCCCTCTTTGGTGATCAATTATTCATTGTTTTAGTACGCGGCTATATGTGCATGTATTAGGTAATGAATTTAAGTCGGGTCTGTTCACGTATATTGGTAATTATAAAGCAATTAATTAAGATTATCATAATTGATTCTTATTCCAAAATATGAGAAATATAAGCCCTTTTGCGACACCCTGTTCACACATTAATCAAATTCCTAATTCAATTTATGTTACGTCTTCATTTTTAATTCTTAGCTCTACTCATTACCTTGATTGAATTTAGATGTGCTTGGATCCTAGTACCTGTAGGATTTTAAAACGCCTCTAAGTAAGCGAAGATACGCCATTTAATGGTAAATTCTCTTTAAACAGGATTTTTGCTATTTAGCGGTATGTAGGCAATAATATTCCTTAAGATAAATTGTTGGTAAAAGTGTACAGACAATTGTGTTTATTTATATCCTTTTTTACCAGTCACAGAGTGAGTAACTAACTATAAATACTTGCACAACTAACCTTGGATAAATAATAAAATTCTCGTAATAAAATTCACTTAACTCATGTGCATCACAAAAACTGATTGATAAATATTTTTATCAATATATTAAGGCACCAAGAAGTATCATATTGAAAATTATCATCAGCGCAGTCACTATTGTGTTGGATGGATAATTGCTTATCGTAAGGAGGTACTTGCGTTTTGAAAAAATGAAGTAGGTACTAAATGAGTCATTATACTTCATTTTTACGTCTAGGTAAGCGTTAACCATTTTCTAAATAAATAATCATTATGAGGTTTGTTTTTTTTTTGTATGAGCTACAAAGCTGGTAGAGCATGTAAAAAAGATTCAGTTGTTAAGTACTGGAATTTTTTTCTAATGTAGAAATAATGCATTTATTTAGGGGATGAAGACAAAAATGGGAATATATTTTAAAGATAATGTATCAATCCATTTCCATAGTGATATTATTGTTATATTGTCCCATTTCAAAATTCTAGTTCACATAGGTATAAAAATCTTTGATTTTTTAATTTATTTTGTTGAAAATTATTTTGGGCAGTTATTTTCACGAGGAAATCGTTATAATTCAAAAGGTTTTCCGTCGCAAAGTATGTTATAAGCTCAGAATTCGATAAAACCCAAATTCTAAAGTAGAAATGCTTTGATGTTGAAGGGATTCAACATCATAAGGTCGTCAGTCCTAAGACTGGTTGGACACGCACCTCCGCTCTTTCCTAACTTGAGCTAATCTTCGCATTTCCCCAAAACTAGAACAACCCACATCCTTAACTATTTGCGAACAGTAATCTAATCTAGGTCTACCTCTACTCCTTTTAACTCCATTTTATTTAAAGCTATCTCTAACTTCTCCTTGCTAGATGTGAATACTGTCATATAATCTGCAAATCTAAACATACTAATCTTTTGCTCCTGTATATGTATCCCTACAGTTGTATTATCTTTAAAAATGTTGATCGCGTCTTCGATCTATAGATTAAAAAGTAGCGGTGACAGTGTGCATCCCTGTCTGACTCCCTTCCTACTATTTACTTATCTACGTTGCAGCTCCAGCTCCAACTGCCTGTTGCTCTTTATGCAAACTAAGTATCACTCTTCTATCTTTGTAACTCATCCCTACATTTTTAAGTAAACTTAACATCTTGTCCACTTGACATTGTCAAAAGCATTTTCTAAATATACAAATCCTAATTACACACTCTTTCCTTTTTCTATCGTTTTCTCTATTGTTACCCGTAAAGCTAGAATGACCTCCCGCGTTCCTCTATTTCTTCTACACCCAAATTGACTTTCCCCTAATTGTTCTTCCGCCCTTTTTTCCATCCTCCTCTGTACAATTCTAGTTAAGATTTTTGACACATGGGAAGTTTAGCCAAATGTTCTAAATGTCTCGCACCTATCTGCGCCTCTCTTTTTAGGTATGGTTACTACCACATTCCGTTTATAACCCTCTGGGACTTTCCCCTTCTCGTAAATGTGAGCAGCTAGCTTAAACATACGTCATGATCGCTATCTATATCTGCTCCTGGATAATTCCTATAGTCCTTCACTTGATTTTTAAATCTTTGCATAGAAATATGTAATCTAACTGATATCTTCCTAAATCACCTGGCATCTTCCACGTATAGCGCCTCCTAACGTGATGGTTGAATAAAGTATTCGCGACGGTTAAATTATATTTATCGCAAAATTCTATCAGCCTATCTCCTCTATCACTTCTATTGCCTAATCCAAAAGAACTTGCTATTGCATCGTCTTTACCTTCACCTATTACTGCGTTGAGGTCTCCTACAACCACTAGGATATCCCGCCCTTTAACTAAATTTAACACGTCTTCTATATCTGCATAACTGCATAAACCGTTTCTACGACCTGTAGGTAGTATTACTGCTTCTACCGGCTTCGAGTTTAATTTAACAATAACTATCCTATCGCTTTTTTGTAAATAATATTCTACACTCTGCCTTACTTTCCTACGCATTACAGTTCCTACCCCCGAATTACCTTCCACCGATCATGTATGTATTACTCTAAAGTCTCCACTCTAGCTTCTGGCCAACGGACTTCACTAATGCCTACTACATATATCTAAATCTAGTCTGGTCATCTCAACTTTGAAATTTTCTGATTTCTAATGGAAGAATTGTTAACCAAAATTTCTGAATTTAACTCTAAAAAGTTGATGAATGGGATTAACTTTAGAGGAACGTTGGTAGCGGATGGTAAATGAACTTTGTAGGGCAAATAATGGATAATGATTTTCACAGGATCGCACAGGACTTCCGATGTGCCCTGCGAATCCACCAAAATTTTTACTAATGAAATTAATATTTTAGCGTACTCAAGTCGGGTAAAGTTTTCAAAAAGTATTGCGAATGATAACTTTATCTATGTCAAGTAAATAAGTTACGTAATTTTTAAATAAATACCTTTTTCTTTATGAAAATTCTCTGCCTCCAAAAGTTTTCCAATGTGAGCACATTTTGGTGTTGGATGACGAGAGGGAAAAAAATAAGAGTCACTCAAGAGCCGCGCGTTGGAAACAAATTTGATAACAACATAAAGAGGTACCTCCGGGTATTATGTCAACAACACTCAGGATGTTTCGCGTGGAAGCCGTGGTGGTTTTGGCGGCTTCTCTTTGAACTCAGATCTACAAATTGGTGCACATTGCGTGAGGGGATAACTTTGAGTTTATTTGTTGTCGGTTGTGTGCGCAAGTGCTCCAATGGGACGGTTGTGCTCGAATCGTTGGGCGGAGCTCAATTTTTCTGAGCACGTTCTATCTACACTCCATTTTATGTTTTGTCTTTGTTCTTCGTTACCTTTTATTAACATTGTAACAGCACAAAGCTCGCCGTCTCATTTTGTTACGTCAATTTAATACCCCATTGTATTTACCAGCCAGTTACTGGGACGGGTACCCACCTATGCATATATAAGAAATCTTGTTAACTGGTGGGCGCTTATTGCGACATCTGTCGAGGGTGATTTAATGATCTAGGATCTTCAGAGCCTACTTTACCTGCACTTCCGTTAAGTACTACACATACTATTTTTCATCAGGCTGGATTATTGCCACAAGACGTTAATATCTAGTGTCATATTATATGCATTTACTACCTCACCTGGAATCGAACCCAGGACCTTTGGCTTTACGCACCAATGCTCTGACCACTACGCTGCGGTAGGTGACACAAGTAAGAACGACGAAACGTACTTATTAGGTCACACATTCGTCGAACCGATGTATATAAATGTATTAATATCATACGAAATACTTTAAGAAACTTTTTATATGTTTCACTGTTCTTGCTGCTATCACCTTTCGTAGCTTAATTAGTGGTCAGGGCATTGGTGCGTAACCCTGGCACTTGAAGATTGGTCAAACATTTATCCAGCATTGACAATCGTATTCCTAGTAGTACTACACCAAATTCGGCGATATGTTAATGTACCGAATCTTAGGACTTGAAGATTGACCAAACATTGATCCACTATTGACAAACCAATACTTGGCTGCTCAGTATTACACCAAATTTGGCGATATGTTAATGTATCGAATCTTAGGGCTTGAAGATTGGACAAACATTGGTCCACTATTGACAAACCAATACTTGATAGCCCAGTATTACACCAAACTCGGCGATATGTTAATGTACCAAATCTTAGGACTTGAAGATTGGACAAACCTTGGTCCAATATTGACAAACCTATCTATGTGGCTGCCCCGTACTACACCAAATTTGACGATATGTTAATGTACCGAATCTTAGGACTTGAAGATTGACCAAACATTGGTCCACTATTGACAAACCAATACTTGGCTGGTCAGTATTACACCAAATTTGGCGATATGTTAATGTATCCAATCTTAGGGCTTGAAGATTGGACAAACATTGGTCCACTATTGACAAACCAATACTTGATAGCCCAGTATTACACCAAATTTGGCGATATGTTAATGCACCGAATCTTAGGACTGGAAGATTGACCAAACATTGCTCCAATATTGACAAACCTATCTATGTGGCTGTCCAGTACTACACCATATTTGACGATATGTTAATGTACCAAATCTTAGGACTTAAAGATTGACTAAACATCGGTCAATCATTGACAAACCAATACTTGGCTGCCCAGTATTACACCAAATTTGGCGATATATAGCTACACATAAAATACATCATTACTGCACCATAAAAAGGATAAATTTAAGGATTTTATGCGCTAAAATAGTGAAATTATTGCCTTCCACAGATTATGAGTGGAAATAAAATAACTTTAACTCAATTAACTTTTCAAGTTAATTCTTAAATATGATTTACGTAATATGTAAAACGAATATAATAATCAATTGGAATAGCTCATTAATCGGCCAAAGAATCAACCAGCGGTCAACAACTTTGACAAAAATATAATCCAACTCTTTAGTGTTTATTAGTCAGTTACTTATTAGGTCATATTTTTAGACTTTCACCTTAAAAATCGCTAAGTAATTGGACAAATTAGATCTTTGTATTTTTCATAATAGAGAACGTCTTTTTCGAGATTGTCAAAATTTATTTTTTTCATATTTTCAGTGTACCTAGCTAAACAAACTAAAACTTAGGTTTAATGATCGAATGCTGTATTTTCTGCCCATCTCTATAGCCTACAGTTACACCCTTGATTGCATTTATTAGATTACCCTACTAGGTATAATATTTATTGATTATTGATATTATTCAATGCCAGCAAACATATTATTGAGCTAAATTGGCAACTTAGTTAGAAAAGCTGCACCGTATGTCGAATTTCATCTTTAATGCAAGCAAACAAAATTGTACAAAAGGTCATTAATATAGATATATTGAATTAGGTAATTTTAAGAAGAATCGACGATACATGTACACATTTTAATAAAAGAACTCAATGTTATTATTATTAGAAAACTGAATGTCATGAATTTTCAAAAATTAGACCGAAATCTGGGATATTCCATGTCCACCCCTTATTCCCGAAAGTTTTACGGGAAAGAGATAAAAAGTAGTGAAACATACAATTTAGTTATTTCATAGAAAATAATAATATTTCATAAACAATGCAAAGTTAAGATGCATTAGTAGTAATTTAACGTTATAAAAATTAGCACAGGGATTTCAACCAAATTTTACAAGTGGATGTCTCTAAGTATATTATTAATTGACTAGTTGCCTCCATGAAATATTTTGTGGTATCGCCGAAGATAGTATTGAGTTTCAAAATGTTACTTTCGTGAGAAAAAATATTTACTTATTTTCTAGTTAGATTATCAGAGTTGCAGTATTTGCTCTGTGTTGGGTTGTCTATATATTATATTGCAAATTACAGTTTAATTTATTGTAAAAGCAAAAATATAAGTCCTTAACTGACTATACATGAGCAAATTATAATTTAAAGAAGAAAATTTATCAATCTACTTCAATGAAATCGAAATTATAGTTTAATTATAGCGCTTGCTTTAAATTATCCCGGCGCCTCCACCAAAATTTCAACAAAATTATTTTTAATTAGACCAAAGGTTTGTTTATGTTTGTGAGCGTCTCATTTTCGGCACTAGAGCGATAGTTTATAGCACAACTTAATCTTAATACTCGTAATTAGTAACTAAATACTTTTTAGTAGCTCCAAATAAAAATGTGTAAGGATTTTTATCCAAACACTACATCTAATAAGTCAATGTTAGTAAGTAATTAATTATTTCAACGAGTATTTCTTTTGTTTGATCGTGATTAGAATTGGGTCTCACATGAAAAAGTTATTTGCATAAGAAAAAAACGTCTATTATTCTTCTTAAGTATAAATAAGTAAAGTATTAGGGTTGCAATATTTGCTGTATGTTGGGTTGCCTATATACAACTAATTTATTGTAAAATAATAATATAATTGCGTATACATGGAAAAAATATAATTTAAAGGCAAAGATTGATCGCGTTGCTTCAATTAAATGGAGATTATAACTCAATTATGGCGTTAATTGTAAATTTACCCGGCGCATCCACCGAAATTTTCAATAGAATTTTTTATTAATTGTTGATAACGTCTGTGTATCTTCATGTACGTCTCCTTTTCGGCAAATGTTATACAAATTAACGAAAAACTCATAATAAGTCACTAAATACTTTTTTGGCAT